AATCCAAGAGGGGTATCTGGCTACAGAGCTGTACCTGTTCAGTCAGTTCTTAAGGGAAGGCAGGTAGCTGACTGCAGTTAAGCACATGAAAACCTAGATACTTGTGATCTCTTTTTAAAAATAGCTCTAACATGAAAGCAGCAAACAAAAATGAAGACAGAACGCCTAATTGTTTCCTCCTGTAGTCCCTATCCACATGAATTTTTTATTATTCACATAAATTTGCTGTTGGAAAACAGCACCATCTTGGTGGAAGGAAATATTGAAACATTGATTAGGTGGCTCTTTTTTTTTCTTCAGTACTTGGGATCAAACCCAGGGCCTGTCCTATGCTAAGCAAGTGCTCCATCACCGAGCTACGGGTGCAGCCCAATCAGATGTGCTGAGGTCAGGTATCCTTTAATGCAGCAATTCCATGCCTGGAGCTAAAATCTAAGGAGTAATTAAGATGTAGGCATAAATTTAAGAAGAAAAATGTTGCTGGGCACTGGTGGCTCACCCCTGTAATCCCAGCTACTTGTGAGGCTGAGATCAGGAGGATTGAGGTTGGAAACCAGCCTGGGAAAATGGTTCAAGAGACCCCCCCCATCTCCAAAATAACCAGAGCGAAATGGACTGGAGGAGTGGCTCAAATGGTACAATGACTGCTTTGCAAGCACAAAGCCCTGAGATCAAATCCCAATCCCACCAAAAAAAAAAAAAAGAAAAACTGAACATTCAGCAAAAGGCTGAAAACAACCCAATGTGCAGCACAAGGGTGTTAGTTAAATAAAATAATAATTCCTTATGATGTATATTTTCAGGCATGGTAGTGTACACCTGTAATCTCAGTGCTAAGGAGGCTGAGACTGGAGGATGGTAAGTTTTGAGACAAACCTGGACTGCATAGTGAGAACCCTGTTTCAAAAGACAGTGATGTCTGGGCTGGTAGAGTGGCTTAAGTGGCAGAGTGCCTGTCTAGCAAGTGTGAGTCCCTGAGTTCAAACCTCAGTACTGACCCCAAAATACTGGTATTAATTTTCAGTGAAGATATTTATATTGTATCATTAAATTAAAAAAAGACAGTGCAAAAATAAATGTATGTTGAAATATCTTTTTTCTTTGGTGGTACTGGGGTTTGAACTCAGGGCCTCATGCTTTCTAGGCAGGTGCTCTACCACTTGAGCCTCTCCACCAGCCCTAATATAGCTTGAAAGTCTAAAAGGAAAAACTCAGATGTTAGAAGCATTTTCTCTGTAAGGTGGAATTGGGAGCTCAGGGCTGTCTATATGTCCACATCTGTAATTACAAAGATAAAGGGCTCCATGACCCCTGTGTGGCTGTGATGACATGCTCTGCTTTTGTCACTTGTGTGCATCCTTCCACTGGCAGAGGTCTTTCCTCTGAGGCTCTAGGGCCTACAACAGCTACTTTCCAAAATAGGTCAGACGGGGCTGGGGACCATCTGCCCTTGGCAGAGCCTCTACGCTGGAGAGGGCTCAGTCCTGTGTTCCTGAGTTTTCCAGGTCACAACGTCCCTTGCTCTTGTGAGGGCCTGCCTCTCTGTGAGCAGGACTCTTGGACACCAGTGACCTGTTCTTTAATGCTCCTCTGTCTGTGTGGCTCTCAGGGAATCCTAAGTAGGCCTGGCCAACATCCCACAGCCGGGGCTCAAGAATCAGTGTCTGCCATTTTCACGCTGGGCTGGCTACCCACACCCAAGAGGTCAGAGTCCTCTCTGAAGCTGGAGTTACAGACACGATTAACATTCTGTGTCACACAGTGACCTTCTCTGGCTTCAGGGGGAAATACAGCCCCATGTTCAGTAGATGAGAAGGTGCTCCAGGACAGCCACCCTGGCCTACCCATCCTGCACAGCAGCTTAGAACTTCTTCATGTCAGAAATTCTTTGCAAGAGTTAACTCTGTCTCAGGAGAATCATATACAAATGTGCTTAGCCAAGACCTAAAGGTTTCCACACTGTTTTTAAAAGGTGATAATCCACAGTCTTCATGTCACACCCGAGTCTCCTCACTTAACAGCTAGTCAGTCATGCCAGAGGAATCACAGCACAGAGGTGACGGGGCCTCTCTGACCTCAGGAACTTAGGGAAGTGCTGCTTGTAGCCCGACAAGACTTTGTCGTGGGTTCTGGGATATTTAGACAATAACAACAACAACAAAAGTCCAAAGACCAAGGCTTGCTGAGGAACTTACACCACCACAGACGGAGTCTAAAACGTGGAGGGTTCTGCTTTATCATTCAAAAGCAGCCGCTCTCAGCTCACAAGGCGGTCCTGTGCCCACCACCCAAGCTAGATCAGTGCTCAGAGGACTCCATCCTTCAGCATTCCTTTCTCCTCGCCAGCCCCAAGTACAATACCGCTAATAATTGCTCCACCGTCTCCTCTGTAAAAAAGAGCAGCTGCAGAAGACGGCGGAGCCTGTTGTTCTTGTAAACAGATTCTTCTGAACCCTCTCACAGCATCCCTGCCAGATTCAGGAGGGCGTCATAGTTCCTGGAAGCAAGGGCCTCACACATGAAATTCGTTCTCAAGATCCTGCAGTCATATTCCCACAGGTGACGGGACCCACTCTGCCAGGCAGATACCCACGTGTCCTTATAACCGTGCATTATTGGCTGAGGAGAAAGACTTTACAAAGCTGCACTTGACACCAAGCCAAGGATGACCACTGATTTCCCCTGCACGACCTTGAACCTTGAAAGCACAGCTCTTACCCTACTCATTTATCCATGCGAGATGCTTGTTCTCTCTTAGGATTGCAGATTCTCAACTCTCTTTGGTTTCTATTCTTTGCCATCCTGAACATTTGAGTGGCAAGACCCAAAATTAGTTTTGGCCGTATAGTCTGTGAAAATGGAACAGCTTGTGAAATCTGAATGTGAGACTTTAACACCCATACGTCTTGTGTTGGTAATTGATCACAGCCTTTTTACAAACGATTTCTTGGTTTGTAAAATGATGCCTATTCGCTTGAAAGATGAACCAAGAAAGGCACGACAGTCTCTGCAAAGCAAAATGCCACATAGTGTCATGGGAGTGATAGGTAATTCTAGGCAGGCATTCCCACTCAGCTCAAAGTCATGTTAGGGCTCAGCTATGAACAAAACCCAGAGTCTCCAGCTCCCATTTTCTCCAGGAAAGCAAGTCATAAGACCAAAAGAGCATTGGTGCTGCTGCCCATAGCAGCTGCCAGTTTGCTGGTTTTAAGTCTGGAACCATAGAAATAGTAAGTGGTGTTTAATGGATCAGGTGTTTTGCTAGAGGCCCAGCTGAGAGATACTTAATCCTTTCCACAGGGCGCTGAGTTAGATGTTACTTTCAATGGGTTTGAAGCTAAAATGGCTCTAACTCACACAGCTATGAAACTGCAAGTCTGAGATTGGACCCAGGGCTATGGAACATGGAGCAGAGCTTCTTATTGTTGGTGTCTGGGGCTGGATCCCTCCCTGTCTAGGCAGTTTTCCTTCACACCGCAGGATGTTTAGGAACTGCCTGACGGAGGAGCCTCCAGGCACAACAACCAGAGAGGGTGAGGGTGCAAATTGGTTGTGATTGACAACCACTGCTCTAGGACGTGTTCCTTTCTTCAGAGTTACTATGCAACCACCCAGGTGGTTTTCTAAAGTGTTCCCTATTTGTTTTTCTTTTCCTATTTTTTTCATTTAAAAATGTTAAATTAAAATAACAACATATGCTTATTGTAGCAGACAAAACTATATATAGAAACTATACTTTCCCACATATAAACAACAAATGTGCACAGGACTGGGTGTCCGCCCTCTCCTCCCTGCTGCCCTTTTTTGCAAGGATGAGGAGATGTAGCCTTGGCCAATTGCTTAATGTGCCTGTGGCTCTCCTACTCAATCCGAACACACACACTATTTCCTGTTGGGTGGTCCAGAGACCTCTTGACTCTTCCAGAGTGAGAGTTTCTCTGAAATGCGAGTGCATTAGGGGTTCTTGAGCAAGGGATTCTAGCCTGACTGCCCTCTGGAGACAGTGAGCCCTGTTGCCCAGTTTAGGCTGTCAGGTAGGAAATTAGGTGGATATTAGCTAGAAGAACTGATTCTATCCCTGTCTTGGGGCGTGATGAAGGCCCTGGTCAGATTGTCTTGGTTTCTTGTCACTTTCTCCCAGTGTCAGATACAAGGAAGGACACATGGTCTGCCTAAGTTGCTGGGAGTGGCACACCCCTAGGCAAGTTCCTAGAGAAGGAGACGTGGCTGGGTGTGCTGGTCCTCTCACTAGCAGCTTGCTCTGCCTCCCCACCACTCTCCCACTGCCTCAGTGGCAGAGCCCCCAGGCAAGAGGACTCCTCTGGGAGTTTGGGGGAAATCCACACTCCCTCCTCACAAGGGCATGGCCCCCAAATGCTTCCACCAGGCCAGTGAGGCCTTGCATCCCGCCTCCAGGCTGAGAGGTATTCTGGGGACAGAATGTGCTGGAAACCCATCTTTCTAGTGAAACAAGGGAGGATTTCTGCTCTGGAAGCAAGAGGATCTCGATGAACAGGATAGAGTGCACCCGTTCAGCAAGAGCTGGGAGCAGCCTCCCCACCTTGAAAGCAGATTCTTGGAAGGTTTCAGACAGTTCTCTGCAGCCAGGTGGTAGGTAAACAGAGGGAAGTAGGGAGTCTTGCCTAGCTTAATGCAGAGAGGTCATCAGGGTGACTTACTAGTGAAGACTCTGTGAGTGTGAGCCCTGTTTCTGTGCTTTCTGTTGAATAAAAAGATCTTCGTGAGGACTTAGCAAGTCACTTCCCAGTATCCAATCCATGGGCAACACCCACCTCCGAGCGCCTGATTCACTAATTCACTGACTGCTGGGATGGATGGATGGATGGATGGATGGATGGATGAGGTGATTCCTACCAGGTCGTCTGGCCAACACCCCCCAACGCGCACACACACACGCACACACACTTTCCAGGAAGAGGCCAAGAACCCCTCCGCTTCTTGCTCCACGTTGGCGCGCGCCCCCAGCCAACCGCACTCACCTTGTGCTGCTTCCACGTGGCCCCCAGCGGTTTCACCTCGTGCTTGCTGTGCCGACCCTCCTCCAGGCACAGGTAGCACACGGGGCTCCGGCAGCTCACGCAGTACATGCTGTAGTTCTCCGTGTCATGCTCAGGGCATGTGGGGGACTTTCGCCCCGCGCCAGCTCCGGCGCCCCCGCCCCCGGGGCTCTTGCAGCTGCCGCCTGCGCTGGGGACCGCGGCGGCACCGGGGGGCGCAGGGGCAGCCTCGGGGGGCGCGGGCGGCGGCGGCGGCTGCACCAGGCGATGCTTAGCGAAGGGACCCCGAGACGGATGGCACTTGAGCTGGCACGCGGAGCAGTAGAGCACGTCGCATTGCTCGCAGAGCGTGGCTGCTGGCTCAGGCGGGGTGCGGTCGCACAGCTGGCAGATGGCCACTGCCGGGGCTGCAGAGGCCCCCGGCGCGGCCCCGCGGCTCTGCTGGTACCGCTGCACGATGGCCTCCAGCAGCCGGTTGCGCTGGAAGCCGCGCAGGCCGCGGTGGTCCAGGGAGGCGCTGCGATGGCACTGCGGACATGTGATGGAGCTGGAGGAGGACGAGGACAGCGAGGAGCAGGCGGCGCCCCGGGCTGCGGCGGCCGAGGAGCCGGGGGGCGCCGGCACCATGGGCAGCACGCGGACCCCGTTGGGGGACTTGAGGCTCGGGGTATAGGAGCCATAGCCGCTGTCCGTCTCGCTGTACAAGCTCAGCTTGTCCGCATGGTCGCCGCCCCCCGCCGCCCCACCGCCCAGGCCGCCCGCTGCGCCCGCGCCGGCGCCTCCGCAGGCCGCACCGGCCGCAGGGTCTTGATCCGGAGGGGGCGCGGCGGCGGCGCCCCGCGAGAGCAGCAGCGGCGGGGGCAGGTGCGGCTCGCCGTCCGGGGTCTGCACCGCGATGGTGCGAGCGCACGGCAGGCAGACATTGTGGGAACACGGCAGCACGATAGGCTCGCGGAACAGGGAGCCGCACACCGGGCACTTCAGCTCCTCCTCCATCGCCGCCGCGCCCGCAGTCCGAGCTGCTCCAGTGGCCGCAGCTCCGGAGACCGGCGGAGGGGCACCCTCGTGGTCGGTGCCGGGGAGGCGAGGGGCTGGGGCATCACACGGCCATGCCTTGTCCGCGAGCTGGGGGCACGCCCTCTCTCTCTGTCCTCAGCCACCGCCCTAAGACGCCTGGCGGGGGGGGGGGGCCCAGAAGGGAGGGAGCCTCACCTCCTGCCAGCGAGGCTCGGGCACCGGCTGCCCTTGCGGCGGCCTGCGGGGAGCTCCAGGTGATGAATCAGCAGCTCGGGCTCTGCGTCTGGGCACCGCACCCGGTCCTTCTTCCGCACTCAGTCCTTCTGCCCCGCCCGGCCCGGCCCCGCCCCTGCCGGGCGCTCGGCAGGTGCACGGGCCGCTGGGGCCGGGCTAGTTCAGCACCACGAGGCGGCGGACAGCGCCCGCGAGCAGGCGGTGACCCTGGGGCGCGAGCTCCCGCGTGCGCACCGTGGGTCCTCCCGCCCGGTCGCTGCGCTGCGCCACGGCCGCCTCGGCATCCCCACCGGCTCGGAGAAGGCCACTCGCCCCTCCCCGCAGGCTGGGGACAGGCCGGCTGCGCCCCGAGCCGTCTCCCCGCGGCCGATGTTGACCCACGCCCCGGGCTGGCCGCGGCTGCTCCTGCGGCGCCCCTGACCTTGGCCGTGAGACGCTGCAGCGGCGGGCGGGGGGCGAGCGCCCGCTGGTCGGGAACCCCCCGCCGCCTCCCGCGCCCGCCGCGCCGCGCGCCCGGGAGTTGTGATTCTCAGAGCCGCGAGTAATGGGGCGGAGGGGGAGGCGTCGGCTCAGCGAATGAGGGCTCGCCTCTGGCTGCTGGGGAGTCAAGGGGCGATTCGGAGGAGGTCGCGGAGAGCATCATTGTGAACGACGATCCATTATTGGGACGGAGACTGCACGGTGGATTAGCGCGATGCCCCGCCCCGCCTCTGCCATCACGTCCCCTGCCCGCTCCGGCCTTCCCGATTCGCCACCGTGAAAGCGTAAAACCCCCGGCCCTGAAAGGACAGAAATGAACAGGCTGGACAGAGGCTTCCTAAAGCTACCACCAAGCAAACGCGCACAAGCCACAAAATGTCGGACAGCCTGGAGCCAAAAGGCGAGGTTTTATTTACTAATCGACCCGCAAGCCATTTTGCCTCCTCCTTTCAATCGAGGGCGCTCGGCGGCGGCGGGGCCAGGGGTCTGCGCAAGGGGCGGGGGTTGAGAACCGGCTTCCTGGGGACACGGAGCTCGCGCGCGTTCCGGAGCCCAGCACGGCTGCCCCAGGCTGCCCCGGCGCGGGGCGCGGCGGCGGGAAGCGGCGGGAAGCGGCGAGCGGGTGCCAGCTTTATGAATGGGGGCTCTCCGCACCGCCACCGCCCGCGCGCTGCGGCCCCCGCTCCCGCTCCCGCTCCCGGCGGCCCCCGGCTGGCTGGCTGCGGCGCGGGCGGGCGCGCGGGTGGTGAAGGGCGCGGGCGATGTGGACGCGCGAGGTGGGGAAGGGCGCGCGGTGCAGCCCGCCCTGCCCACCGAGTTCACGCTGGCAAGGGACAGACACAGAATCCGAAATCGTCGGCTTAAAACCGATGCGTCTGTTGAAGTCGAGCCTCCCGGCCCCAGGTTCTCCCGCATTTCAAACAAAGACGCCAAACCCGCGCCCACGCGTCAGGCGCGGGCCTGAGCTCCGCGGTGCAGAGCGGCTGCCGCCCTGCTCAGTGCTTAAGGGACAGACTCGAGGGAGACAGGGACGTTCCCCAAGAGGGGTGCGGCCATGCACCCCAATGAGGCCCAGAACCTCGAATTCGGGATTTCCCGGGGACCAGTTGCCCCATCCCCACGGCTTGCTTGTGCTTTCCTTATCCCCATCCCGCTCTGCCAAGTGAGTACTACAACACTTGCGTGTGAGAACCAAATGGAATCCTCGTAAATACAGATTTCGCGTCCTACGTCTTCTGCGTCTTCAGCTCCGCTGAGCTCGCTGCGGCCTGTCTGTCTCGGGCTGGAGAGCTGACCGGGTAGATAGCTATCACCTGCCTCCAAGTCCCCTTAGCCAAGGAGCAACTATTCCACGGGAAGTCAGTATCCCCAGGTAGGAGCGCAAGGGTCAGGCAACCTGGTCCTCTGCCTTCTGCTCAAGCAGGTCATCCTCCCCACCCCCACCCCATCTGGTGACTCCAGTGGAAGTCATGGCCTCTCACGGTTCTCCTGAGAGCAGGTGGCCCCCGACCACTGTCATCATATGCCTGACACCTGTTTTGCTCTATCATTTTCAGACCAAGGCAAGCTGCTGGGGTTTGGATAGGGTGGTCTTCTGCAGATCTTTGTAGTGTAAGACTTACAAGAAGCCTAGTTTGTTCCCCACAAGAACTCCCAGGGTGTTGGAATTCTACCCCAGGCACTTCGCACATGCCCTCAACTCCACCACCCCCACACTATAACCTGAGTCAGCTCAGCCCCGTGCCAGACTGGGACTCCAGCTCTGCCCAGTTGGAGGACTGGCATTTTACCAGGGCTGTGCCTCAGCCAAGGGCACAGACAGCTCTGGTGTTTTTTCTAGGTAACGGTAATCACTAACGATGGTCAACGTAGACTCCAAAACCCTCTTTCTGCTCCAACTGTGCCATGAGCCATACATACAGAGAGAAGTCATTTTATTTCTCTGGACTAAAGGCTTCCTTCCTGTCACAAAATTTAAGGATAGAACACATTGAGCTTTAAATTTCCATCTGATTCTAGAATCTCTGTGTATTAGTTGTTGCTAAGAGTGATGTATCTCACTTAAAAAAACTACTTTTATTTAAAAAAATTGATCCCAGCATTGGGTGATATCATTTTTCCAAGTCACTAGGATATTACTGAAGTCTGAGCTACACAACACGTGCATTGTAACACTCAACGGTATGAAATTAGATTCTCATATGTGACCTCACGCAATGGGAAGCAGGCATCAAAGACATATTAATATCTCTGAAATTAAAAAATATGCTACAATTGACCCATATTTCTCCTCTCACCACCTGTACCTAGGACATTTCTTGGTAGTTGACAGTGCACCTGGCACTCATTTATCATCATGGAAAGTGCATTGGTAATTAACACTCCACACCCAAAGCCATCAAGGCAGAGAAGGGCAGGCTCTGCCATGAGTCACTTCAGGTAATGCACTCCAGTGTGGCTTGTACCCTTAAATACAAACCAAGAAACCCTTGAGAGGCAGACTCATGTTACCTCTCCTCCAAAAAAAGCACAGATAAGATAAATAATTTACTCCAGCTAACACAGCAAGTTAGAAATAAAACAGTGCATCTCCATTGCCTTCAAAATCCTTTGACGTTCAAGTTGAAGTGGAATGGAATTTAAGGCTTTATCAGTTAAAATTGATGCTGTAATCTCAAGTATAAGAATTTCTAAAACAAATTTTTAATGAAAGTTCCTGGCATTTTTCCTTTAGTACAGTTTTGGTGGGTGTTGTCTGTTTGATTTTATTGCAGTGTGGGAGTCAGATAAATTAGAAATCTGTGGCCCAAGAGCCATAAAATAGTAGTTTGCCAGTGACCACATCCACATCTGTATGTGAGCCAGGGCTGCTTTGTGGCAGAGTTGACCAGGAACAATTATCAGCAGCAGGAGGAAGCACAATTAACTTCTTTTCTAGAAAGCAGTCTCTATAGAATCATCTTACACTCTGGCCTCTCTCCCCTGCAAACATTCACAATTAGGGCTTCACAATCATCTGTGTAATTTTTTTTTCTTTTCTTTTTTTTGCAGCACTGGGGTTTGAACTCAGGGCCTACACCTTGAGCCACTCTACCAGCCCTTTTTGTGTGTTGGGTTTTTTGAGATAGGGTCTGGAGAACTATTTGCCTGAGCTGGCTTTGAACTCAATCCTCCTGATCTTTGCCTCCTGAATAGCTAGGATTACAGGCATGAGCCACCAGCACCTGACCCGTTTAATTTTTTGATTACCAAATAATGACCACTTGCCTCCCCAACCCTATTCTAAGACCCATGTTCTCAGCAATCAGGTGACCTAGACGCTAATAAAAGACCCACCCACCCTTCCCTCACTGTACTTTTTTTTTTTTTTTTGCAAGCAAAAGATTTTAGAGTCAAATGCTAGAAGAAACAAAGGGAGTTCAATTTTCGGGCTCTTTATATATCTTTACAGTGCATAGCTAATATTCTTAGCACCACTCCGTGTGCTTCCCCTGGTGGCAAACGTCAGCATCAGAATTGCAAGTGCTTTGCATCTTCATGGCCCCTTCCACTGCTCTTATTTAATTTAATCCTCACAGCAGCATGGCCTGGCTGGGTAGGAGTGCGGGGTGACATCGAAGGACCGGTCCTGAACCACAGGGCAGGTTCTCACCAGCTGACCCTGTATACTTGATGAGCCCAAACCCGAGCTCAGTGGTTTAGTCCCTGGGTGGGCATCTGACTAAGCTGGTCCAGTCAGAACCTTTTCTTCCTGGAATGCAGAATTGGAATCCAGAAAAGGGATCTCATACAGAGAGTGAGGAGCTGTTGTGCTCTGGAAAAGCAAAAGAAGCAGAAGTGAAGAATAGAGTGAAAATGCAGGCAGAGAAGAGGGGTCCCCCCAAGAGCCCACAGCCTTGCATGATTGCCAGAGCAGCACTTACCCCATGGTAAATATCCTCCCTGTCTCTCTTTCTCTTTCCCCATCCCTGCCTCTTTCCTAAAACTAGCTGGAGTGAGGGGTTCAGAAGTATAAGAGGGGTTGGCCTATCTTCCTAGTCAGATGGTTAGCCCCGCCCTCCCCTTATCTAGCTGGAAAGTTAATCACCTCTGTCTGGATGCTGAAGTGTTTCTTTTCATTCTGTCTCTATTGGTCTCTGACCTTGATTCATCAAGTTTGTCCTTTTCATTCCTGGATTCTGTTCTCTGCTCACAGTTTGACCTTCTGGCCTGTTGATCTTCACTCCACTCAGATCTTCCTTAACCACACACTCTAATGGGCCCAC